ATTGTATACAAACACCTAAAAGACACCGCAGATTGTTAGCTTATGATGACAGCCGGCTCTGTCATGGAAAATATTCAAAGTTAGCCTCTTACTTTCCCCGTCAGTTTATCAGATAGAATGAAAGGTGTGAAAAATACAGTCTAATTCAGAGTACTACAGCAGGGCTGAGGATGACAGCCAGTCAGCACAGTGAAGATAAAGGTAATCTCTCTTTTTGAAGTCAGATTTGCTCACACAGGTAGACAAGGTAAGAAGAAAATACATGTAGCAGATCAAAGAAGTGTCACGCTGTATCTCTGGGAGGCTGCCTGTTTGGCAGCTTTGTAAGGAAGTTTCTTTTAGCTTTTGTGTATCACATCAACACTACAAACAAAGGCCAGTCACAGAGGACGGCCCGTCGATGGCAACACATTAAATAAACGCATTACAGCGTCCAGGTTAAGAGACGGGCTTCACATCAGACATTTTCAAAATGTAAACGTCCGTTAAAAGAAGCATGGATTAGATCAGGGATGTTTTTTTTTATTCTTTAGATTTTCATCAGAAAATTTAAACAAAAATGTAGAAAATTTTCTTAGAAATTTTCTAAAAAAAAATTTTCAAAAGTTTTCTAGAAAATGTCTGAGATTAATCACAAAATGTCTGAATTTTTGGTGGAAATTTACTCCTTTTATTCTGTCTACAATGGACCAAAAAAAAAAAAGTTTTGGCACCCCTGGATTAGATGTTGCTAGAATCTAATTTTATCCTCATTTTGATTTGAAATATGATGGAAAAAACTGCAAAAACAGACCCAGTGTTTTGGTGATGAAGGAAGGGGAAATAAAACCCTTGTCCCTGGAATTAGCTTGTCACGTCTGTGATTCTGGAGCGTTTAAAGCCGCCCTGTGAACATGTTGGGGTCAGGAGACATCATGCAGCGGCGGTGAAAGAAACAGAGGTAATATCATGAGCATGTAGCTGTGAAACTGTTCTGTCTGCTGCAAAATTAACCTCATTTTTACCAAAAACAAAAAAAAAACAGCTTGAACAAACCTGTGAACAGCAGTGTTACTTGCTGGGTTGACATTTCACCAGCAAACCACATGTACAGAAACAATGGCCGCATTCCTCGTGCCTGCTTTTGGCTGAAACCGAGATTTCACTCCTACAAAAGCTTTTTCTTTTCTTTCCACTTCTGATCAACTGTAATCAGAAGAGAAACAGGAGTCTTTTAAATTCCTGTTGTAAACCATCACTACCAGCAATCCAGGTTTTCATTGTTTTAGTTTGGTGTTTAAGCTGCATAATACCAGCTGAGGTGTTTGTATTTGGAAATGTTTGTGGTTGCAGTAGCTGTTGGGTTGTTTATGTTAATATTAACATAAACATTGATCAGCATATTTGATGTTTGATTTTGATGAAATGTTTATTGTTTGCTTCACAATTGATGATTTTTTATGACACAAACTTTAAACTGTGTTGTCAGGAGGGCTGTTGTAAACGATTATTTTAGTAATTGAGTATTATATTGATTATTCTGACGATTAATCGAGTAATTGAATAAAAATTTGATCAAATAAAACACTGGTCAATTCCACCATAACAGCAGTATGACTACTGGATATCAACATCAGTCCAGTTTTTCATATTTGAGCTCCCATAGCAATAACTTTTCTGTAGTTTAGAAAATTAACTTGTAACAATAATAGGCTCACTGTCTAAGTTAACCTGAAGAAAAATTATACAAAACTCTGAAATTATATTCAGTATAATAATAACCAAGCTCACAAAGACACTTCTATAAATATGTCTATACTCCAGTCTTAAGTTTATCTACTCATCTTCTTTGAACTTGAAAATTGGACGTTATGCTGCCAACACTTAGCTTTCGTCAGCAACTCATAGGTGGAAGTGAGAGCGCTGCGCAACATAATCAATCACTCGGCAGTAAAACGGTTCTCTAAATAATAAAACATCATTTTACGAAGCTTTGAGACATAATTTTCCTCCAGGAATTTTTAATAATAAAGGCACTCGAGCCATTCGAGAAATCGTTACTGCCCTATTTGTCACTCAATTGACTTAATCTAATAAGTCAAAACCAAATTCACCTCTGGTTAATTTATCATCGAATCAGAAGAACGTATAATCAGTTTGTGTTTAAGGTTAGGATTTGGGATTCGTGTGCTTTTCCCTCATCAACATTCCTACATCGCTATTAGTCTGACCAGAACCCTGAGGCCAGGTTGCCATTCCAGAAACCTTGAAGTTTCTCACAACGTAAACCAAGAAGGCGTTCTTCAACAACATCCAAGAATTCAAGCTGTGAAGGGCCACACAGACATGTTTTCTGGTCACGTTGTGGACTGGATGTAACCTGAAAAAGCACTTGGGGAATAAAAATGAAGCTGAACGTGAAAACTGCAGGTCTGTAGAGCCAACAAAAAAAAGTGTCTGCTGTGTCTCATTTAAAACAAGCACAGACACTCCTATAAATAATTCACGCTAGGAGTAGTACCTGAGTATCCACTGGGGTTGACTATTTGATATTTTATTCTGTGTCAAAAGGCTAAGTCTGATTTTATACAGATGCTTTTTGCTCTGCTGTGAGCCAGAATGATGATTAAGTGTTTCTCTGAGGCCAAGGTTCAGTTCTTTGAAGGAGGTAAAGCCTTTCGTATTAAGTGATCTCTCTCTCTGATTTACAAATGATTAAATCACAAGCTTTGCCTAAAGGGCTCCCAGCTATGCTATGGGCGTATTCCTATACGTAATACAGCCCAGAGTTGCCAGATCTGACAGACTGTTTCCAGCCAAAAAACAACGTAAAAAATAACAGTTTTAATGTAACTCAGATATAAAATCTTCTGTCCCAGACATCATAGACTTGTGACAATTCACAACATTTTTGTTGGTCCTTTATTGTATTCTGACTGGAACCAGATGCAATTGGGACTGCAAAGACTTGACTCGTTGAACACAGTAGGCGCTTTTCCACTGGCAAGTCGCGCTCTAACCGGTTGATGTTCGGTTCTACACCAGGCAGTGATCTGTGATCTTTGGGCAGGACCTGAGCAGCAGCAGCTGTGGTCAACTCAGCAATGGGGAGGGTTCTGGTTCTGATGGACTAAAATAAACCCAGATATTTCATTTTGTCTTACAGAAATTCATAGGTGGCCCAGACATGATGATAAAGGCTCAGATCAGCTGATTATTTCACTATAATTACATTCTGGCACTTTATTTTTTAAAATATGCAACCTTTTGGATTTAAGTAATGCAGACAAAAGATGTAAACAAATAGCCACGCATAAACTTTATTATTTTTAATCCAAATGAAAAATTTAATTAACATCACAATATTATTTAGTTCCAGTGTTTCACACAGTTTCACACAAAACAGCAGCTCAATCAGAAAGCTGACCACAGCTGCACCATTTCTCTTTATTAGTTTCAGAGCAGCTAGCTGCTAGCATCGCTGCTAACTCACGGTCATTCTGATGCTAAAGTTACCGCCTGTGTTCACATGTTCCTGCTGCTGCTCTTGATTAAACTCATAATTTAACTCCTAAGTACTGAGCAGCTCTGACAGCAGAGCCGCGGCCCACAGCTAAATGCTAAACGCTGTTTTCAGAACGAGCCAATCAATGAATGCTGTCAGCTGCCAAAGAAAATAAAACCGGGGATAATAAAGGAAATGGCGCCCCCTTCATTTCCGGAGTGGTCTGCCAGGTGGTCCGCCCCTTACTGCTTGTTCATTTAATACTCGGCTCATATTGGCCCATTTCTACATCATTGATACCTACTTTGTACTTAATTTGTAACTTAGCATAACCATCCGAAGACAAACTTTTCTGTCGTTGCTCATCCCTCAGACTTCAATGCGAAGGCTTTCAGAAATCTGCTGCCATGGGTCTTCATCACATTACAGCCACTTTGGAAACTGAAGCGACTTAGAGCGAATAACGGCCTGGAGCCATGAATTATGAATGAAGAGGGGAATACATAATTTAGCAGGGTTTGTTGCATATCTTATGCTGATCATTTTTCCTTTCATTTAGGAGTGTCAATTACCTTTCTGCAACAACACAAATGTTGAAATATGACAAAATAAAATACAGTGCATCAGGCAGGTACATTAATTATTCAATGTTTGATCATTTTGGTTATGTTTTTATTTGAATATTTATCATCATTAATTAAAACGGACAGCCAATTAATTTTTTTTACATGTTTTTATTTATTTGGCATTTTGTTCCTTTTGTGGTGGTTTTTTAGCCATTTCAGCTTCCAATTTGTGTAAATCTAGTCCACAAAAGAATAATCTGATTGTTGAAAATTTAATATATTAATGTAATGTTTGCAAGTGTCTCTGATCTGCAGGCTTCACAATTCAAATGAGCTTTCAATAAACGCATTAAATGTTTAACTGAGCTCTGTTTGTGAATAGCCTTCAGAGATATGCTGCCATCTGCTGTTATTAAGCAGATATTGCATTCACTGTTCACCTTAAATTAGTTTAACTTCTAATGTCAAGCTCAATACATAAGAATATCTATAAAATTATACCCATTTCTTTATTTTGATTCAAAAAGTGAGTAAAATCCACAAAGAGTCATCATAAAAGAAGCTGGACGCTCAAAGACGGCTGTATCCAAGAATATCAGTGGAAAGTTGAGTGGAAGGAAAAAGTTTGGTAGCAGCTGGGATAGGAGAGGATTGTGAAACAAACCCATTTAGGAGTCTTCTTGTGTTAAGATGTTCCTTAAGCAGGGCTGTCAGAAACATTACTTGGACTAATGAGAAAAGTTTTTGTTAAAATTGAAAATGGAGATCCCAGAGTCTGAAAGAAGAGCAGAGAAGCTCTTTTATCAAGTCCAAAGTCCCTCCAACCATCTACCAGAAAATCTTAGAGCTCTATCAGAGATCATTTACTGAAATAAATTCCCTTTGTGATGATTTTCTAATTGAGATTCACCTTTAAATTCTGTTTTTCTTTTTATTTCATGTTTTGACAGAATCTCACTGAGAACGACATCAGAAAGTTCAGCCTCCTTCAGCAGCCGTAAGTAAACCCCAACTTACTTTTTATTTATGCAGAAAACAAATTTATGAAAATGACTGAGTACTGCAGAATCATACTAAACAAGTTGAGGCTCTACTGAGGTAAAAACATTTTAAAAATTAACTTAGAATATTTGAAGTGACGTGACATTCGGGACTGGCCATCAATTTGTCATAAAAATTTGTTTTAATGCCTTTAAGGTGAAAAGGGAGAATCCAAAACTTAATCGGTTCAGAGCAGTCCAGCTCTTATGACACATTTTTAGTATTTTTATTTGCTCTATGAGCGAGTCGTTCCATTTTCATGACCACTACGTTCTCTAGTTTTTACTGCCAAAATAAAAGATTACATTTTGTGAAAATGTGCAAGTAAAAATGACCCGAGAGTGTTTATTTAAAAAGATCTTGTGTCTAAATAAAATTAACTTCTTCAAGTGAGTCTGTAAGCGTGTAAACTTTTCTAGCTTTTTCTCACACTGTAAAACATTTTAAGATGGTTTAACTTGAAAATGCAACTTACCCACATTATCAAGTTAAAACAACTATTTATTTTACTTTAGAATAATTTAAATTCTTGTTTCAAATTGCATGAATAAAATAATAATAATAACAAGAGTAAGATCAATGTAACGCACTTCCATCTCAGGATACAAAAACATGCCGCTAAGCATTCTGGGAAGTAATTCCCACTCCTGTCTTTTTCCTCTTTCAGTTTTTTTAAAGTGCTAACTTAAAAACTCTTGCAGGTTTGACAAAATTAATAAAAAGTTAACACAACTTACTGTTGTAAGTTTATCTTTCACAAACTCACATTTAGGTTCGAAATCTAGAACTTGCCAAACAGAAGATAGTACACACAACTCGGTATCGCTCAGAAAAACTGTTTTCATTTCTGATAATTTCCTATGAAATGAACCAAAGATAAATGCTGCTAACAGACATGAAATCACATACTTGCTGTGATTCTCAGAGCGCTTTAAGTTAGAAACACGGCCCATCCCACTAAAGCTATGAGTTCTCTGGAAATACTGTGGTAAGAGCAAATGTTGTGTTAATGTTTACAGCTGTGTGCAGCAGCTGGCTTGGTTATATAGATGGGAAGAGACAGACAGAAGAGATTTGGTTATGCCTGACTGCATATGCATTTTCGTCTGAAATGTTCATTTCCTCTTTATTTATGGGTTATGTGACCTTTTTCCAACCTGAAACAAATTCCCCTTTTAGCGGTGCCAGCTCTGCTGAATAAGAATTTCTGTTCAGATTAATAGAAAAGATTTAAATATGTTCTCTTTGTTAAAAAGAAGTTCTTGGATTCCTGGTTTTATGTTTAAACAAGGTAATGGAAATGTACTTCCTTATTTTGTTAATTTATTGTAAAAGTTGCCGTTTTAGAAGAATATGTAATTTAATATTTAAATTTTTAGTGCTTTAATGGGATCCATGGTTAGGTGAACATGTTGGCCTAAATATGTTGTAATTTGCCTATTACCTTAAAAAAATGCTGTTTGTGATACGTCAAAACACATAATTACTTCAAAACATAAGGCCAAAAGCTGTCACTGTTTACTGTAATTTTAAAAAATAATAAGTTAGGTGAATCTGCATCTCTTCCTACATGGAAAAAAAGAGCGCAGGGGAAAATTGACGGAAACAACTTAAGAACTTGTTTGTGCTCTCAACATTTTTCTCCAGAAGACATCGAGTCATTTGTTCGAGCAAAACCGTTGAAGGCTCAAACAGATGGTCGTTACCTTAGCGAGAAAAAAAATAAATGCAGTGCCACAGTTTTTATTCACAAAGCACCTGAACCCCACTGCCGGTGTTACGTCGATCCGCGTTTGTAACACCTGCTGGGGAGCAAAAACCGCTGAGAGAAAAAGCTCTTACTATCTGCGTTTTAGATGTTAACGCAGTTTACTGCTACTACGAACGGAGCTAATTGCTTCTGTCGCCAGTACTGAATGTGAAACCACAACCGACACTGGACCCTAAACAGCCGTTACCAGAACGGACTTGGTGTTACTTACATAACTACTTACCGGCCGGATCGCAGTCCGACCAGAGGCAGCAGCACAAACACTTACAGCTTCTCGGACCACTTTTCCTCTTCCTCCATTTGGTCCTCCTCATCTTCATTACTCCTTGTGATTTATACATTCCAATTGATTCCCGTTCAAATTGAAAGGGCTTAATGGCATTACCCATTGCCAAAACAAACTCTTCTTCTTTTGTATTTTATTGGCGGATGACCAACTTAAGGTGCATTTACTGCCTCCTACTGGTCTGGAGTGGGGCAACAGTGACAGTCAGAGGGAACAAAGCTAACTCAAACTCAGCAAGCATAAGTCATTTTCCCAGAATGCATTGAAACGTAAACAACACGGCAACATCCGTGTGACAGTATTTTATAAAAAGTAAACAGCCTACAGTATCACTACTGTGCGGTTTTTACATCTAAAAGAACATTTCTCAAATAAAGTGTATTGTTACAAGTAATTGTGGATTATTTTATGTGATTCCTCAGAAGCTAAACTTTGCAGTTTATATTACATCAGCTATTTCTATAAATAAGGAAGTTTTTTTCCCTTTAGAGTTCAACTTAAATGTGGAACCACAATGTGGAAAAATGACTTGCAAAAGGACTACATCACTGTCTGTTTTTAAATCGCTTCTTTAAACTTTTTACAGAGACAAAAACAACGTAAGAAGAACCTGTCTGTGCTCTCAACATTTCTCTCCAGAAGACTTTGAGTCATCATCTCACCATGTGAGATGTTGATTTGAGATGGTGCTTTTTTTAAATTTTAGTTTAGGTTTGTTTCTTTTTGCATGGCAAGCTACGAGTTAATTTTAGTTGTATTTTAGTAGTGTAACGTAAAGTCATTTATAATTTCTTATGTGTTTTTATGTATTATGATGTTCTACAGATAGTCAATTTTATCAAAATGCACACAGAGATGGTGTATTTAGAGATACACCATCTCTGTGTGACCACAATGAGAACAATAGTGAATGCAAAGCATCATGAACACCAAACACAGCAGACAGGCCAGGAAGAAAGTTCAGGAGAGATTTAAAGGGGAGATAAATTGGCTTTTTTAGTTTTATGTCATGTTATAAAGTTATTTCCTCATCAAAAACATACCTGGAGTGTTGCCTCGATTCTTTCACGCATGTCTGAGAAACCCTTGAATCTCCCATTGAAACCATTCAGCTGTTGAGATGACTTCCTGCAGGCGGAGTTTCAAATTTATTTTAATTTCTTTCTATAACAACTAGACATAACATAGTTACTGGATTGTGCTAGAAAATACATAATACTGCCTCTTTAAACCATTTTGAGGTGGTAAATTGTCAAAAATGTAAAGAGCAAGGTAAAAATACAAGCCGAACAAGAAATGCTACAGTCAAATGGACAGTTAGCATGGCACAATTTGGGGTTTTGTGGAAAAGTAGCAAGAAGAAAACCATTTTTAAAAGAAGATCCCATTTGGAGTTACGCAAGCTTTTTGGGACAAACATTTTTTGAAGGTTCTCTGGTCAGATGAGGCATAAATTGATGTTTTTGGTCTACAAGTAAAACAATTTCTGCAGAGAAAAAGGTTAAGGTTTTCTTAAATATAGTAGATTTTTAGACTTCCAAAAGAAATTGTTGTTCCGACCAACCACTTAACATTTCCATTTTCAGTATTACTGTGGTTCATTGTGCACTTGTTGAACCAGGAAATTAAGCTTTAAAGCAACATAGCATGTCATGACCTGTCTTCTTATTGAGCTGTGGTATTCTGTGCAGCCGCTAAACTTAACAACCACTCAAATTATTCCCCTGATAATTTTAGTATGCACCTGTGTGTTTCAGGTGCATACTAAATAAAGTTTATTATAATGAGACATGAAAAACAAAAACCGTAGACAGAGTTAGCTGCAGAACCGTGATGTTGCAACATGTTCCACTGGGCGTAAATATATCAGAATCTTCTCTGTAATGACTAATATTTAATGTAAAATCAAGTTCCAATCCAAATAAATAATCTCTTTGCAATTATATTGGCACAATGAAACACAATAACTGCAGCTGAGCATGTATTGCCTGTTGGTTTAAAAAAAAGTTATCTTTAAAGTAAACATCCTGTGTAGACATCTGGTGACATTGGAGAGGAACCACTCCCTTCAAACAGGAAGAAACCTCCAGCAGAACCAGGCTGAGTATGACCATCTGCCACAACCAACGGGAGGTTGGGAGGACAGGAAGTAGACAAAAAAAAAGCCCCAGACCAGGTGCATGTTTGACAAACAAAGAGTGCACAGGTATTTGCAGAAATAGTGCTAATAATCGCTATCAGGGAAAAAAGAGTGGGAACACAAACACTGAGCCAGGAATACTTTCCATTACAAATGTGCATAAAACTTTGTCAATATTCCGTTAATTTCGCAAAAAATAAATTTTGCAATTGTGGTCTTTAACTAAAAACTTAATTTAAATCCATGTGTATAAGCTTATTCATGCAATAAGTAATAAAAAAAAAATGCAGCGCCATGACCCTCCAACTACTTCCTGTCATCGTCTTCATTGTGGTTTCCGCCAGTGGCAACATCCTGTTAAGAACTCCGGTCATCGTGTGAAAACAGTTTTTCCATAGCAATTTTGCGAAATAAACCAATTTTGATACAGCAAAAAATAAAAACAAAATAAAAACTTCATCCTACCGCCAAAACTTTTTATCCAAAAACTTGAGTTTTTTCAAAATTGCCGTGTTTCCATGAAGCTAATTTATTTTCAAATTGTTAAATAGTGTATGTAATCATACAATGGAAACAATACAGGAATGAGATTCAGCTAAACATGGATTCTAGTTTCTATTTTAACCTGTAAAGAAAAATGGCGACATGTATGTTTCAGGTGCACACTAAATAAAGTCTATTATTAAGAAACATGAAAAACAAAAACCGTAGACAGTTAGCTGCAGCATTAGCGCTGTCCAAGCTTTGTTCATGGAAGAAACAAAACATAGAAAACATAAACATGCTGGCCTCAGCTTGAGTAAATGCATTGTCCAGGAAACAGTCTCATCCCAACACAGAAGTACTTTAGCAGAAATAAAAGGCAATCAGAGAACTGAAGGCTAAAAATGGGAAGTACAAGCAAAAGATGCCAAAATGGAGAGAGAAAAAAACTAAACTTATGGCAGGATAATATAATCAAAAAAGTAAAGTTCTGGTCTCAAAAGTAAATATGATGTCATTCTTACAGATTAAAAAAAACTTTTAAAGTTTGTTCCACAGAACCTGGTGTCTAAAAACTCTACACTCTTTCTGCTTTTATTAAAAAGTTAATCTGCAGTCTGAACATTTAGAGCTTCACACAAACAAAGTGAGAATTTAAAATTAGACTCTGGATTTAAAAATAATGAGAAGCTAATTTTGAAGAAACATGATATCTCCTTTTATTTTTTTTAATTTTTTTGTTGTTTCTTTTTTTACGTGGAGGCTTTAACACTTATTCCCTTAGGAAATGAAGTCACAGGATGTCAAAATTTACTCACTTCACAGAAAAACCACGTGAAGTTTCTTGTTCTTTTTCAAATCTAAAGTCCATTTTTCTGTCATGATTCTTAAACATCCAGAGGCCTGGTCAGTGAATGATGTTGACGTTTCACAAAAACCGCTTCCTGTTTTTCTGATCATGTGCTGTGACAGCAATTATTTTGGCAAATTAAAATAAGTGTTCAAAAAGAATCGCCATGGCAACCACGCATGTGGTAATCTTCATGACAGGAAAGGCTGCAGACTCATTTTCTTTAGGCTGCTATATATAGCAAAACCTTGGGATTGCAACACGGTGTTTTCCATGACACGACCACACTTAAATTAGATAAAGTTACATCTTTATTACTCTACTGAATGCTCTAAAGCTTATATAATATTTTAGCAAAGCATCAATACATTTGAATGGGTTATTATTTGATACATTAATAGATCGTTTTGTAATTGCTACACTGCAAAAACACAAAATCTTACCAAGTTTTTAGTGCAAATATCTTAGTTACACACTTGTTAAAAGTAACTTTAGCATGATATAGATATATTTAATTTTTTAGCAAGATATATTTTCATATTAGACGTTAATTTAAGTTAACAAGCAAGCAAAAAGTATTTTGTCATCACTATTAAGGAATTATTTACTTGAAACAAGATCCCACAGCATGCTAGAAAGTTACTTTAAGTTAGTCTTATTTCAAGTGTAGAAACTAGACCAAAAATACTTTTTTCAGATTTTGTGTTTTTACAGTGTTCAATACATTTTTGTCAAAGTTGTCTTTTTAATACATATTGTCTTATGAAGGTATTAAAAGGGCAACTTCTGCTGCTGGAAAAAGGGCGACATTGAAGAAAATCACAAAGCAACATGTGATGCAAGAAAGTGTGGTCAAAAACAAGAAGTGATTTTTTTCAGACTCAGGCAGCTGGAACAAAAGCACTCCCTTTTTTCTCAAGACTGACAGTCATGCAGAGCGTTCGTTTGCTAACCTGCTAATAGCGCGGCAGCACAGTCCAAACCTATCAGAGGAAAAAAGCTCGGAAAATGTCAACTCTTGGGTTAAATGTAAATATGGATACATTGAATAAACTTGCAGCGCCTGCAACAGCAAAGATTCGGTAAGAAGTTGATTTTAAATTTTTAATAGTTGATCCTGATCATTTTTGTTGCTCAATAAGCTGTGAGCACAAATTTATCAGGTTTCTCTAATAGACATTGAAGGTTTTTCTAAATAAAAGTGGGGAAAAAAACTATTTGTGAAGAGGAATTCGTGTTCTGAGGACATATTTTTGAATGGCAGTGTTGTGTCTTTCAGGCAACTTCAGAAAATGGTTCAAGACATCAAGAAAAATGACGGCAGCCTGCTGAATAAAATCAGAAGGTCAGTGTCTGAAACATCCTGTCGTCTTGGTAATAAAGCTGCTTTTATAACATCTTCCATTTGTGACTTAGTCAAGGCGATTTCATTTGTAGAGCAAAAAGGCAATTCAAAGTGGTTTAAAAGATTAGACAGAAAATAAATCAACAAGCAAGAAAGAAAAAGAAAACATTTAATTACATTGGCAAAGTAAGGAAAAACAATGACTGGTCACTTTATGATGTTCCCATTGTTATTAGTCAAAGGCAGTAGATCTAAGCAAATTGATTTATAGTCTTGATGTAAGGGAACTTAGCGTTTCAGCAGTTTTACAGTTTTCTGGAAGTTTGCTCCAGAGCAGAGGAACTTAAAAACCAGAAAACCTGAGTCGCCTGATAACTTCTTACCACAACAGATCCTTATTATATAACCATTCAGTGATTTAGAAACTAACAAATGTGTTTTAAAATTTATTTGAGTAACTGTAGAGCTTTGTTGCACACTGTAAAACATTTGACGGTGGTTTAACTTCAATATGAAAGTACACTTGCTGCCTTGAAAATGCAGTTTAAGTCAACAGGAAAACATTTTCGCTTTAAACTCAGAAGTTAAAATTAATGAAATTGATTTACCAACAAGAAACAAACTGTCTAAACGTTGTTTTGTTTTTTAAGTTCATTAATCTTGAATTGTGAGTTTTAACTTAATGCTGGAATTTAAACCAATATTAATTATTTCACAATATGCAAGAAAAAAAACTGCCTTCGCCCAGTTAAAGAGTATTTCTGTATTATTTCCACACATTGTCGAGTTAAAATAACTGTTTATTTTACTTTAGAAAAATTAAAATTCATGTTTCAAACTGCATGAACAAAATTTCTGATCTGACAATGAATTTTATTAAACATCACAGTAAATTCTGCTCAAAAACATTTAGTGAGAACAGGACATAAAATGAACATTTGCCTTAATAAAACACCAGAGTCAGATCAATGTAACGCACTTCCATCTGAGAATGCAGGAACCTGCCGCTAAGCATTCTGGGAAATGGTTCCCACTCCTTTCTTTTTCTTCTTTCAGTTTTTTAAGTGCTAACCTAAAAACTCTTGGAGGTTTGATAAAATTAATAAAAAGTTAACACAACTTACTACTGTAAGTTTATCTTCCACAAACTCACACTTAGGTTCAAAATCTAAAACTCGCTGAATTTACTTAAAAAACCAGGCACAACTACATGCGACTGAAATGTTTTACAGTGCAGTAGCGTCTTCACTAAAACATGTTGTTCAACATTTGCTCAGTACTTCTGTCAGTTGCATGTAGCTACAAGAAATGACTGAAGCATTTCTGTTCACTTGTCTGTTTTATGTAGGAGGAATTTATTTTTCGAAGTCGGCTGATCTAAAAATTCTCCGTGTGGTTTGCGTACAGTGCATGCTTCGCTGGACAATGCCAATTCCTCTTTCACAAACGTTGGAAAGAGAGAGCGGCGCATAGACCAAAAATACCTAAAACAGATGGCCGTTCTCTCACTTTCCTTTCCTGAAATGAGTCTGTTTGTTCTCACATTGCTTTGCAAATATCTGATTAATTGCAATAATTGGGTTCAAAAAGTAAGACTCCAGTTTCATTACACACAGAATGGTTTATTCTAAGCTTTTATTTCTGATAAATGCAATAATTACGGCAATGATTAGCAGTCAATATCGAAAACAACAAACAAAACGAATGGAAAACGATGTCTGATGGGAGTGAGGAGAGACGAACTTAAGGAAACCCAGAATATAATATTGAAAAAGATCAATGACTAATCAGTTTTAATAGAGAAGTCTTCTGATGTTATCTAAGGAATAAGGGGGTGTCAGCAGTCAAGCAGACAACTTGAGAATCTTAATGCTCACTTTGTTTCACATACAAGCATATTAATGGAAAGTTTACTGGAAGAAAAAAGTGTGGGAGACTAAATGTGTTCCAGTGGCTAAAGAGCCACAGTACAAACACAATTCAACAGACATGTCCAGTGGTCCAAAGTCCCTTTTTCAGATGAAGTAAAGTTAAAACAACTTGGGCTGGACGCCATACAGATTGTTTAGTATACTGACATGTTTTTATTGGTCTTCTACGGCCGTACTGGTAGCGTTACCTACCTTTAATGATTTACCTATAATTTTAACTCCACTCCATTGTTTTTCATTTTAAAGCAGTTATGAGTGAAGGTGGCGGAACCTTAAACTACTGCTGCACTGACAGGTTGTTGCTAGGTAACCAAAGAATGAGTGAGTTGCTAGGTAACCAAAGAGAGAGTGAGTGATTCCACCAACCTGGCTTTGCTATCTCAGAGGATGAGGGGCTAACATCTTTCCTCTGCCTACATCTCCCAGAATGCTCTGCGGAGTTCAATGAATATTCTACATATTTAATATCGAACATTCTATCTGACATATTATCTAGTGATGTTGATTATGTGCCTATCGCAAGATATGTTGTCAATTTATTGTCCAACAAATTAATAAAATAAATAAGCTTTTAGAATTGTATTTTTTCTTTCTGAGTGGTTGTTGTAGATGATTGAATCTTGTAAAGTCTCACAGCCGAGACTTTACAAAGAAAAAGTCTGCACAGATGTGAACTTAATAAATTGATAATCATAAATAATTATTCCTGTTCTTATTATTTTAATTACGACAGACTGAAAAGACAACCTCGTCCAAACGTTCCTGTCAGAGACTACAGAGGTAAGAATTCAGCGATAACAGCTCAATATAGGTCCAAAATAATATTAATAACAAAAAAAAAATGATTATACTGAATGACTGTATTAATTAAGTATAACAAATATGAAAGGACAGCTTTCAATTAAGACAATCAAAATGTTCTTATCAGGTCTTTTTTCACAGATTAGGACGTTTGTTGAATGCAGTTTCACTTCCTCAGCGCTCGCCTGAATGAATTTATGAGCTAAATTATTGCAGTTTCTGTTTAAATGCATCATAAATCCGTTTGGTTGAAGTTCGTTTTGGGGTTTGGGAGGTGAGGCAACACGCTCCGCTTTTCCCTACAACATGATGGTGCACTCAAAGCCCAGGCATCTTCCTAAAAATAGACAAAGAGCTCCAGCACCTGCACATTACCTATGACTGTTTGGGGGTTTTTAAGTATACTGCGAATTTAAAGAGTTTCAGTTTCCATTTATGATGAAATGAATTTCTGTTTGCAGATTTCAGAGACAACGATCAGTGCTCTGATCCAGAATACGTAAGTTGCTTTAAATGAATTCAAAACCAGTCATTTTGGTTTCAGATATTCCTTTGAAGAGTTACAAATGTGTTGTTTCCAGAACGAGCCATGCGATGACCCGCCTGAAGATGACAACTATGAGCCTCCTCCGGTCCACAGAGAGTTCACCAGAAGTCCCTTCACTTCCTTACCAAGGGGGGAGTATCTCGGTCAGTACTGCAACCAGAACATATCCGATACATTGACTCATTTTTTCCACACGATACGAGTCATTTTCAAGTGTTTTTTTTTTCTAGTAAATTGCAAAATAATCAGAAAAACATTTTCATAGATTAATAAGTTTTCACACTTATGTTTCACTATCCCTAATCCTTGGTTTAGCTTGACTTTTAGCAACTTAGCTTTTAGCCATTAGCATTAACTTTGGCAAACAATGCAGCAGGACTAATTGAAAACCAATTGTCTTAAGTTGGGCCCATTTGAAATTCATTGGCAAATGTTAGCATGCTAAAATTTAATGCTACACAGATTAACAAATAAATGTCAGTGTTCACACATGGTAGCATTTGTGCATGCTAGCATTTACAATTTAGCATTTATAGCTAGCGACCATCACAAATAAGTCTTGTTGCTTATCAGTAAAATAATTTAACCTGAAAAAGAAATGTTTACATTTCTGGGACACAGAGGAGATTTTGTCTATTACTAATGCACTGAACTAAATACTTGAACAAATAATTTATTTTTTATTGTATCTATTTTTTACAAATACCTTGATGTTTTGTTTCTTGTCTTTGTTCTTCTTTCCAGACAGCTGTCATGCCCGACCAAGCCGACCTCCAAAGAAGCCCGTCCGTCCTGTTAAAGCCTCCAAACAACTTCCTCCTGAACCGTCACATCCATGGAGCGACAAAGAAGTGCAGCAGCTTTCTTTACCTCGCTTAAAGCTTTATTAAGTGCCTACCTTTATTAAAACTTTATTTTCTTGTTTTGCAGGAAGACTATATAGACCCAGATGCTAATGGTGAGGACGACTACATAGAACCCACAGAGAATTCATCTCCAAGTAAGTAGATATTGTGCAAAAGAAACATATGGTTACAATTGGCAGAAAATGTGAATTTATTAATAATTTGTCAAATGTTTATCTTGCCTTTCCTTACACTCTACATTAGAAGGTGGAAACAGAGGTGACTATCCCATTTTGCCTCCAGCTTTACCAGATCGTCCATCCAGTCCAGAAGGTGAGTTTATTTAATATGCTGATCATATGAAACATTTCTTTAAACATTGCTAAGTACATCTTGAATCACTTATTTTCACTTTGTCAACTTAGGGTGTTTTCTGGTAGACTTGGTTCAATTGGAAACCAAAATTGCAAATTGTTTGTTTTCATGCTGCACTGACTCAAATGATCCAAACTAATTGAAAAACCTGTTCCCCTCCTGGCCTGTGGCGGTGCTGCACCAAGAACCACTGAACAAATGACATGAAAACACTGAGCGCAATTTCCTTCTTCGTAAAATATTTTAAAAATGGAGTAGCGTCAGATTTTAGTGGTTGTAGGATTTCTGTTTTGTCGTTGGTAAAAAACCATGAACCATTTCTCCCGCTAGTGCTAGACTCACTCGTTTGAGTTGGTTGTATTTACCCAGAATGCCCTGTGCTGTAATGAACTTCCTGTTTTTGGACATATGCATTTGAGCCGCACCCCAGCTCACTTCAACTGAACCGAGACCGAGGTTTAGGCAGACCAGAGTTCGCATCAGAAACAAACCAGACTTTCTAGCCAAATAAACTAAAGTTTGATTCAAGCAGACTAAACAGGGTTGGTGTGAATGCACCCTTAAATACAACTACCTGTATGTAGTGCTTCAAAAAAGACAACAAATATATAAATCAGCATAATGGAAAAGTTGAAAAAATTGCAGCAGCTCTGCCTGAAAACAGTGCAAAGTGCTAGAAAAAGAAAAAAAAGATTACCTCTTCTGCAGCATTACTAGGTGACATCACATATACAAGCTACAAATAACTTAAGGACATGCAGCATTAAGTTCACAAGAAATTCAAATGTGAATATGCACTGTAAACAGGCGGGAAAAACTAGTTTGTGCCAAAAATAACTAACTCACAACTAATACCTTAAGTTTCTGCAGCATTTTCTGTGAATAATAGATTTGCAAAAGGTTGTTAGATGTACAGTGGCTTGTGAAGAAATATTTTTTAAAATAGTTGTATCACAAGGAATAATTTGCCAAACAACATTTTATTGGCCAAGCGCAACGTAGTCTTCCTCTGAGAACCATTTTAGTTTTAATAATTTTTCATTTCATGAAAAAATATATTCCTTTCTAATTTGTAGTCAACAAGCAGGATGTTGTTCAAAATAATTTGTAAAAAAATAAAAAATAAATTCTTTGTGCAGTTTTTTAGCTTAGTGAATCAGTAACACGTTGACAAAATCTCTTCTGCATCATTTTAATTGCAGTTAGAAACATCCCAGAAATGAAACATTTCTTTTTCAGGGTAAACTAATTTTACATATAATAAATAAGACAAGGTAACATTTGCTATTGGATTTTAAAAAGGCCCAACTTAAGACTATCAGTTTTTAAATAGTCCTACTGGGTTGTTTGGCAAAACTAATGCTAAAAGCTAAGTTGCTAAAGGCAATTAGCAAAGGAATAGGGCTGGTGAAACATGTTGTTAGGTGCTCGTATGTGTGAAATAGAAATGAAAATATCAGATTATTGATTTAGTTGCAAAAGTGACTTTTCTGCTACGTGACTGATTCTTCCCTTGTTTTTTGTTTTGTTTTGTTTTTTTTGACAGATTTGTATGAAGAACCTGAGAAAGAGGCAAGTTGCTGTAACTTCACTATTTTTCTATGAACAATAATTACTCAATAGGAACAGTAATATGTGGAAGATGCTGTAGTTTACCTATAATTTTTGTCACTTTTACAGGAACCATCTACGCCTCCACAGAGAAAGGGGTCAGTTTTAGATTTTATTACAGCATATTTCCACATGATTTGTTACATTTTATACTCTATGTGTAATCCTAAAGTTGGCAGAATTGAATACAATTAAGACTGGATGTGGACAATGTCCATAAAGATACAAATTCGTAGTTGGATTTAAGTTGGAATTTAAATAGGAAACCATTTTATTCAACTTACGGCTGTATGTTACGTCTACATTTAAGAATTATTAATGCTTTTGACAGAAGAAAATTCTTGCAATATTTCCTTTAAATCATTCTGAAATAGTCAAATTTAAAGAGCTAAACCCCAAAACGTTGCACAAAAATCTAAATGTGCCTTTAGAAAAGTATTTCTAATACCAGAATTTCTAATTTATCTGGTCACAAGTCTGATAAATATTAATTGATTAAAGACAGCCGCAGAAAATATGTTTATAATGAATTATAATTATCACTAATTATAAAATCTTGGTTGCATGGTGATGAAACAGTGTATAATACTTGTTATTTCAGTCAGTTCTTAATAGTGATCTGTTGTTTTATACAGCATTATTTCCATTAATATCCCTCACTTTGCCTTGTTACAGCCAGAAATATCTGTGTTTTATTTGGATTACATGAAAATTGTGCATAATTGTGGAGTAGAAGGAAAATAATAATTTTAAATAATATAATTATTTCCCATTACCGCAAGACAAGATCGGTCAACTTGCAGCCAAAACTACAACAGAATGGTTTGATCACAGCATTTTCATATATTACAATGGCCCAGTCAAAGTTCTGACCTATATTCTATTGAGAAAAACACTTCAAAATGTATCTTCACAAACCGTTTTCATCCATTCTAACCAAGAATAATCAAAAGCTTAAGATGTGTAAAGCCGGTAGAAACATACTTGCTGCTGTAATAGTGAATCAGCACACACGCTTTTCAGATTTTTAGAAGAAAAAAATTATAATAATGTTAAATTTTCCTTTAATATCAGAATTATGCTTTAATTTATGTTGGTTTAACACATAAAATCCCAGTGAGATACATTAAAGATTGTGGTTTTAACAAGAAAAAAACACAGAAAAGCTTGAGCCGTATACAAATGTTGTACAGTATTTGGTTTTCAGTAAATTATTAGAATATTCCCCCTCTTTTATTTTATGATTATGAAAAACTTTATAAATACACCTAGCATCGTTTTTTCTCTTCATAGATTTTGTCCACCTCCTTTCAAACCAGGACCTTCTTTACCAAAACCAACACCCAGGTAGGAACCAAACCTATGCTAAATCACTAAATTGTTTGAGTCGCCATGAAATTGTTTTTGCCAGTTTATTCCTGGTTTCCACTTGTTTGAGTCAAGCTAATTTGTCAATGTGCGTTCGCACTGCAGCCTGAAGTGACCCAATTCCGATTTTTTTGACATAATGCGACCTGTATCTGATCTTTTCATGGCAGTGTGAACAGCACAGGTCGGATTCTTTTTCGAATGTGACCCATATCCGATACGTATCCAATTCAAATGCGACCTAACGTCCAGGTCACATTCATCCGAACTGAACGTCACTGATTCTCAACAAATCTCGCTGTTCTGCGTCCTGATTTGCGCAAGCGGGAAGAAAAACAACAACCATGACGGATTATATGAGGATTAAGTTGTTAATATGCTTCTCTAGCTGGACAACAACTTCAAATATGTAAGCTAAGCTCCACCGTTAGCCTCCATGTTTACTTCCGCAAACACTGAGCACTTCTTCTTTTTATGGCGGTTGGCAGAACACTGAGAACGCTGACGCTATTGCGCCCTCTACTGCGCATGCGGGACATTTTCAGGTCGTTTGCCCGTTCAGACTGCAGAACGCATACAGGTCGCCATTACTGGCAGTGTGAACGCCCCCGGCAAAATAATCGGAGTTGCCAAAAAATCGGAATTGGGTCACTTCAGGCTGCAGTGTGAACGCACCATAGGGTAGGTAAGTTTTACCTTACAAAGGTAAAACTTTGTGAAAGTAACACACCTGGTAGGAGCTCATAGAGGCCGTATTTACAAAATAGCTGAAGTAGTTAGCTTAGAAACCGACCC